TATGGACGGGATTGCAATTATTTTGGTTGGCTTTCCATGTTCTTAACCTTTTCATTTGCTTGTCTTTTCATTTCTCGTAAGTTATGTCTTTTCATTTACAAGTCTTTTCATTTCTTGTAAGTTACAAGTCTTTTCATTTGCTTAAGACTTTTCATATGGCTTGTTAGGATGGCTATATATAGCTTTGAGATGTCTTGTTGTAACACAATTTGAAGTTGAATGAAAAGTGAGTTTTCTCATTAGCTTGGTTGAGAGCTTTATCTCCCATTTCTTGTGCAATTTCTTGTGTCTTTTAGAATTTGCATGTTAGGAACATTCAAGCGGTGTTGATCATACCTCTTGTGGAGTGATTCGAATCACGAGTTTAGAAACAAGTTTTCTCTACTCTTGATATTGATCATCAAGGTAATCCGTTCTAAAACTTTTTCTTCTATGGGTCTTGTTCGTTAGCAAGGTTCTTAGATCCAACTCTCAAGGGTTTCTTAACAGGAAGCCCTAGATGTAGAGTGTATAAAATCCACAAAAATCACAAAAAAGACAGACGATCAACATCGGGGTTGTACAGAACTTATGAACAATAACTAAAATAGTGGAAATTAAAACGAAAAGCTTAAGCAATCGAGAGATAACATGCACTAACCCAAATTTGCCGATGAAAATTTCCTTCGTTGTAATCCGCTACCGGAATCACTTTGTCTCACCGCTTGAAGACAGAGTCAGGGTCAGAGTTACCTAAAAAGAGTCGCAATCGAAAGATGAAGGAGAACGAGATTTCTCAAAATCTAATTTCAATCGCAATCGATGAAGACGAGAAATTTGAGCGAGTGAAGAATGCTACAATGTGAGTGCAATAAAGATGGAACGGACGTGGGAAAATTGAAATTTGGGACTATTCGTATTACCCAAGTAAGGAGGGATATGGGAGGTCATTTAGCAAAGTAGGTGATATCAACAAGTGACTAGAAAACTTGTGTTTTGAGAAAGACGATTAAAAAACTTAAAAGACCTTTGCAGAAGGCTTATTTTGTCAATTTTCCTCAACATATCAAACTTGCTTTTTTATTGCTTTCAGGCTGTCTATAATTGCAGCCTAGTTTACGAAGAATAATAGACGACATAAACTTTTTTATATTGAACTTCCAAATTATCTATTTGAATCTCTAAATTTTTAAAGAGTAACAATTTGAATCTTCACTATTATTGGTATTTTGATATCTAATGTCAGTTCATCCAAATTTGGTAACTAAAGTTGCATAATCCATTTATTAAAAGCCAAATTAAGATATAGACTTAAAATGACATTTCAAAAGTTCAAAGAACAAAATGAAATAAGCCTAGCAGTTCAAAAACTAAAATACTTAGCTATAAAGTTCACATGCCAACATTCAAACGATGACAACAGCATATTAGAGCATTACAAACGATACCATATACTTTTGTTTTGGAATTCAGCTCTCTAAACCTATTAGAGCATTACATACACCAAAAACAACAAAGGCCCTCCTAGATCTAAAGGAAAATGCCAGTGTTCAGACATCAGAAAACATCATAACAAAACATGAGTCTGCACAAAATAACCCAAATTCAAAGCAACAGAGCCAAACATCCAGACACACTTACACTTACCCCAGCCCTTCATTTAAGATATTTCTTGCTTGATGAATAGTTGCTCTGTCCACCCTTACTGCCCGATCCGCTGCTGCCAAAATCAACTCGACGATATGTCTCCTGGCGCTGATACTCGGTATATCCACTTCGGTCACCAACCCTGCAAGTGGAGGTGGTTTTGAACTCATCCTTGTAGCCAACTCTGCCAGTAGACCTCTCCTTGAATGTCTCCCCGCGAGAAGCAACCTCCTTCGTTGAAGCAGTCTTATAGTTGCCAGTTTGCCTGTCTCGATCATGACACCTCCAACTTTTTTCATATCTACTGGCTTGGTTGTCTTCTTGAACAACAACCGCATATCCACATCTTGGCTGAATCTCATAACCTTGAGATGGAGGATCGTATGAATAATCGTCAGAATCATAGTCATAATCTTGGTCCCCACTCCATTGATCAAGCTGCTTTCCTGACATTACTGTGCTTTTTTTCTACCACAACCAAAAAGTAAGTACTAATGGCATTTCAACTGAATCTCATATTTAACATCACATGCAATTGCTTGCAAGTGAAATTAAAGTATGCTGAAATCTTAGTCGTCTTACATAAATGAAGTGGGGATTCAAAGAGAGAAAACAGACAACTTAAGAAAAACAGAAGCCAATATGAGCGGAACCAGAAGCTAACACAACTTAGTTGAAGCTCTACTTCGACTCATGTAAGAAATCTCTGTTTTATTTCTATTACCATAGCAATACCAGCCTAACCATGTTATTAGTTAATTTATCATGCAAGGACACCAGCTTAACAGAAAACAACAGACCCTAGTAGCTTATGACAACTTGTCATTATTGAACAATTTGCCCCCTCAGACACTCATATCTAGCTTTGAGCACATTATGGACGTTACTATCTCAGGCAACTCATGATTAATTCAACCAACTCAAACCTTGCTCAATCTCAAGATTATTAAAAGATGCATCCTTGCTCAATCTCAAAACTCAAAGTTGACATGTGAATGGTCATTTACAATTCACCCAGTTGAGCTTGTGAGAGTCCAGACACAGCATTAATCCCTCATTAGAGTTACATTTCTATTGGTTATACATTTGGCCTTCACCTGGTTCTAATACTTTCACTCATTGTTTAAGCCTACAAGAAAGCATTATCTAGGCCTCAGGTCATTTTATCTTGCTTGAGGTGTATGTTGAGATGTATTATATGTGATAAGTTGCACACCCAAATGGTGTAGTGATCAAGCCTAGGTGGCTAATGGGGACGTATGTTCTCTATGCCATCAGATAACTTAAATCATATCAAGACAAAATAGTAGTGTTTATGTGATATTATGTTGAAAGTATAGTCTAAATCTAAACCGTTTCCTTCACATATTCCTAGTCTGATATCATCTGAAAGATATTTGCAGAATTCTAATCTTCTTTTTGATGTTGTTTATTTGACTTGTTTTGAAGACAATTTCTTTTGGAATATCCTTGAGACAAATAAAGCATTTTCTGCACTATCTTTTGGCTAGTATCTAAATCTTTCTTGCCACAACTTCTGATTCCTATATTCTCGATTCTCATCTTCATCTCTCATAAGAGTTTCTGCATTATTTCTTTCAGCTTTAACTTTAGATATTGTCATTCCATACCAGAAAGATTTATGTTATAGGCAACTTCAGCCATTCCTTCCTTATGTACAGTATGATTATAATATAGCTTCGATTTTAAACATCTGTCAAAGCTAAAAAACACCCGAGAATCGCTCCCATATTCTCTCCATACTCTTGCCACGTTAGAACGTTTATTCCGATGAACCAAGAGCGACTAAAAGTCAACCAATGGAACAGCAAAATAGTAATAATAATAATAATGGACGGAACAAGGGTTTTAAGGGTGGTTTAATAAACACCCTAGATTAAAGCCCCCATTAAAGAGAATCAGAGAAGCTAGTCAAAAGCTCACACGAGACTCTATTACTACAATCCATGCAAGTATATATTTCAAGAATGAGGGCTAACCGTTTGCCGTGCATGAAAAATCTCTTCCCAATGAAATTTCCAGCCACAAAACCACCATTTTGTTCAAGAAATAGTTCATTCCATGTAATCAGTGGAGATATATAACATCTTGTTAAGGTATGGAAGCACGATCAACAGATAACAAGAAAAAAGGCCAAAAAGAGCACACAAAAACCGATGAAACTAGTAGAATAATAAAGGAAATTAAAGGAGAATCCCACTTTATCCGACAAAATGCAGGTTGATTTTAATATTTCAACAATAATGAAGAGAAGAGGCTGTGGGGTTTCTCACCTTTTGGCTGCTTCTCAAAATCCGAGCGTTAGGGTTTGGCCAGCAGGGTCGATGTAGGGTTTATATAACCAGAAGGATTTGATCGGCTGCTTCCGGTACTACTATATCTGGGTTCATTTGAGAGACGGTGGGCCCAAATGCAGTGGCCAGGAAAATCAACTCGTCCGTGTGAAGATTATTTACCGTCGCTGATTTCCCGTTATTAATGCATAGTTGGCCGAATATTCAGTATCAAAATTCAAAACTAAAATTTTCCTATTTCCTTCAGAAGAAGAGAAAAAAAAAAGAGTCTATTTGCATGATATTTACCTAATAATCTATATCTATACCATGTATAAAATGGAATACAGACAGACTTTTTTCTTTCTATTTTTCCACTTATTTCCATTTGTATGTCAGGGACAATTTTATCATTCAAACATAATTTTCTCTCCCTCATCCCCTCTTTCTCTCTCCCACGACCCTCCCTTCAATTCCTCCTTTTTTTTTTTCTTTTTCCTTCAAAACTTTATCTTCATCTTCAATTTTTAAACTTTATCTTCATCTTCAATTTTTAAACTTTATCAAATACTTTTTCATTTTCATTATTATTTCATGTCAATTTAGTCATTCAAATCTCTCTCTCCTCCGTCCTAACTAATTACTCTCTCCCTCCCTCCCTATTAGATGGAACAAAGTAAAAAAATTTCCAAGTAGTGTGAATGTATGGGGATTATTCTCTTGCTTTAAAAATGACAACAACAATGCACATATCGGTGATCGAGAGGGAATTGATTGTGAAGAGAAACCAAATGAAAGTAGTTGAATTGCATCGAGGCAGGATTAATGGAAAGTTGATGGCATCAGTTCGCTTTCCCCAAATTTATCATTGTTCAGATTGAAAAAAAATGTAGAGTACGATGCAGTGTTTGATGGAATTGAGTAAAGCAAAATTCGATTGTTCTCATGGTTGGATAATAGAGATGCTTATGAGTTTGATTTTTATTTATTTATTTTTTTTAAAATGTTGCTTTTGATTGATGTGTGTGAAATGCTTGTAATTACTTTTACAAAGTTATTGCAAAAAATTAATTTTATCTCTCTCAATTTCATCATGTTGAACTTTTTAGGGTTTTTTCTTCCTCTCACGTTTGCCTTTCTTTATTATAGAAGGAAATAACTCAAGGATTTAGGATCACACAAATTAAAAATATTAAAATATAATACAATAATCCATAATCCAGAAAATTAGCAGTAAATTAAGAATGTTGATTCATTAAATATGCTTTAAATATGCTAACAAAGAGTATAT